TACTCGAGTATATACGGTACCTTTTTCCCTCAAAAAAGAGGCTGAAAATCTGGGTGGGTCTTATACACTGAATACAGCATTTTTTGCCTCCTGAAACCCCGCCCCTTTCATCAAAATGGCCATGCATAGCTCGTAGGAGGCTTTCAGAGAGCTCCTGGGGGCTGGGGAGGGCAGAAATGAGCAAAAAATGGGCTGTTTTGTGGAGGTTTGCAAAGTGCAAAACTACTTTTTTTTAAAATTTGCATCTTCAAAACCCTGGTGCGTTTTATACTCCGGTGCATCTTATACTCCGAAAAATTGAGGGAAACAGCACAAATGATTGCAAGTTATATGCCAATGGTAAACAATTGGAACAAACAGATTAATTTGTGTACCTTCACAAAATGTTTAGTAAAGATGAAGAAGATGAAGAGACATTTTAAGATGTGCAAATACTGATAGAAAGATAATGGACAGCATGCTCTCTGTTGTGAGGACTTAATGTTTGTTGCAATAAATAGAAACATGTCTTAGTGTAAGAGCTTGTTTCTCCTATTGTTATATGGGAGCAAGAGTTGATTATGCCAGGCAAAACATAAAAGCAAGCCATCTATAGCGGGAATGAGATAGTTAAGAATTGTGTGGCTAAAAGTATGGTCAGGAAAGAATGCATGATGAATGAATATGAACTGAACACCAGCCAGAGTGAATGATCAGTATGAAGTGAGTATTTTGAATTTATTTGGTTATACAGAAAGAATGAAAGAAATGCAAAAATGTATGAAGGAATAAAGGATAACTTGATGACAGTTCCAAGAGAGATTAAATGATTAAAGAACAAAAGACAAAGCAAAAAGAATAGGTTTATGGACACAGTGAAAGTGAGGAAAGGAAGAAAATTATGGAGAAGTCAAATCTAGATTTAAACTTCCTTTACTTTTATATTTTGCCTTTAATTTATTTTGCTTACTATTTACTTTCTTTCTGCACTTTGCATTGCACTTCTTAGCTGGAAAGAAAACAGTGGGATAGATATGTATGTATATCTAATTCACATGCCAGCATTCCTGGCTTTATTGTTGCCTCAATGAAATTGAAAGCATTCACCCACATCCCTAATTGGTATTGACAATTGGGCATAATCTTTGGAAATCCTTGCTTTAACTAATGCAGGCTTTAATGTTAATGTTCATCCCTTCATGTTTTATTTACCTGTTGATCATTATGCAAACAGTCTTCTAAAAAGTTATTGACCATCCTTGCCTTGGGGTTTGGTGGCGAATTCTCCTCTACACAGGATACAGGTACCGGAGATTTTCTGTAGATAGAAATGTAGAAGTTAGGAACCTGAAGTAAGAAACACTTTTTAAAGTTTCTGAATTATGTTTGTACACTGTAATTGAAAAACAAATCATTACAATCCAAGAACAGCCCAATGCATAAATCTATTCATAAATTCCAATCATTCTGTTTTTCCCTTCAATTTTTAGCTGCTTATCCTTTTTCTCCTTTATGGGTTTGTTATTGGCATTAAGAGCTCTATCTCCTGTCCCTTTCAAACTCATCATAAAGACCCTTATTAAAATCTTCACTTGCAAATCAGCCTTTTTGGTAGCTTTAATCTCAACTAAGACACTTGGACAACTCGGGGCTTTCTCGGTATGAAGGGACCCATGCAAATTCCATCAAGACAAGGCGATGCTACACCTGTATACTTTTTGGGATCAAGATCAGTGCCAGATTCCATTGAGCCCAAGAGACTGAGCTTCCCAATTTCTTCCTGACCTACCCATCCAATGAAATGAACCTAGTGTCAGGGTTCCAAGTAATAGATCCATTGCAAGCAAAATTCCGAGGCGGGTAGATTCCACAAAAAATAGCTTTATTGGAAATATGTTGGCACAGATCTGGTGAAAACCGACTCCAAAGGGTCCCTTGGTTTTCACCTAATTAAAAGAGAAAGTTTTCTCCCCAATCCCAAACAATCAGTCACATGGCCCAATCAAGACAGCATCCGCTGGTCTGGTGACATCACTCCTCCTTCCTCCGGCCAGGTGTGAGAACATCCTTGGTTCCCAAGAGAAAGTATTTTATTCTGAATACACAGCCCCAGCTATCTTTAATCCCCCCCTCCCCATCCTTCAGTTCTGGTGTGGCAGCGTTGAAGCTTCAAGATGACTTCAGCCAGGCCAGCTTCAAGGTTGACATCTGGCACCAGCTAAATGGCTCCAGGTTATTAATACCAGAGATGTAACATTGAGGGCCAAAGGGCTGAAGAGTTATTTGTTCCCAATACAGCAAGAACGCTGGGAAGATACCCATCATCAGCTAGTGGGTCAAGAAATGCATTGCTTTCATATACACAACCAGCAAAATACAGCTATCTTAGGGCATCACAACTTCCACCCTCAGGCTACATTAACAGTTCTACATCCACATAGAAAGAGGCATTTGAAATGTGGGGACTTGAGGCAAATCTTCTAAGTTCATTAGAAAATAGGCGGATTTGACTTCCTGCTATACAATATTCATTTCCTGTCGGTTCCATCCTTTAACACCAAGAATGGTATTAGACTTACTACGAAGTACCATGCTGGTCGTTGCTGATTTACCAGGTGGTCTCACCTTATCAGAAGGACTCAGAGTCAGAGATAGTTCCCAAACCTCTGCATCTGCCCCCCACTTTTTTTTTTTGCAAAAAACAAGGCATGCAGAGAGTTTGGGAAGCCTACAGTTTTTTTAAATGTACCTCTTCAAAATCATGGTGCTTCTTACACTCCGGTGCATCTTATAGTGCGAAAAATATGGTAAGTAAGTAAGTAAGTAAGTAAGTTAGTAAGTTAGGTAGGTAGGTAAGTTAAGTAAGTAAAGTAAGTCCTTCCTTCCTTCCTTCCTTCCTTCCTTCCTTCCTTCCTTCCTTCCTTCCTTCCTTCCTTCCTTCCTTCCTAAAGAGTTGAGCTAGTATTCACCAAGCAACATATGTACAAGGCCAGAAGGGCTAGAAAACAATAAAACTCCACAGGCAGATTCTCAGCTGCCATTTTTCCAACTCCCCAGTCCTTTACTTATAGTAAAGTCTGTCCCCAGCTTTACTATACTCTAAGAAAAATTATACTTCAAAAATGCAACTTGATTCTCAGCAGAATTTCCTAGGAGAGGGAGCAAAATAAGCAAATGTCAAAACGAACAAAGAATTACTGACGTGGATTTTGTCCCCCAGCTTTGTTGCTGGTGAATGACTGCAGGACACTTGTCACCTTCTTGACTAAACAGGAGTGTCTATTCGTTGTGTGGGTTTTAGGGAGAAACAGAAAGGTTTTGGAGTGGACTTCAGGGAAATGAAGATCTCACAGAAAGGGTCTCCAGAGCCATAAAAAAAAAATCTTTCTCCCCCATCTTTTGTTAAGTACAAAAAGCAAGCTGCTGAGGTGAACTGGTGAATAGAGCATGCATTCATTATGGGGGAAAATAAGAGAATGAAGGTGTATTGCCATCTTATTTGAAGAAATAATAAAGGTGGGATAAGAAAGAAAGAAAGGAAGGAAGGAAGGAAGGAAGGAAGGAAGGAAGGAAGGAAGGAAGGAAGAAAGAAAGAGAAAAGAACAAAGTCTGGTCATGGTTGGTTGATTACAGGTAATTCTTGGCTTACAACTATTTGTTTAGTGTCTATTTGCAGTTACGATGGGGATGAAAAAGGTGAGTTATAATCAGTCCTCATGCTTACAATCACTGAAGCATGCCTATGGTCACTTGAAAACTGCATGTATTTACAATGGTTGCAGCATCCCAGAATCACATGATCACCGCTTGTGATCTTCCCAGCCAGCTTCCAATAAGCAAAATCAATGGTTTTACTTTAACCACACAATTCACTTGACCATCCACTTGGCCTAATGACTGCAGCCAAAAGGTCACAAAATCAGTCACTGTCATATGATGACTCACTTAACAATTGCACCATTTAGTGATGGAAGTTTGAGGGCTACCTTTATGATCAAAACCTGCCAAGAAAATATCTTACGTTTACTAAGTGCCTTCCATGATCCTCATTTTTTTGTTTCTTCAAGAAATCTTGATTTACTGTATATGAGAAATGTTGGTGCTTTCATTTGCTCTCTTATAGCCCAGTTTGTTTCAAAGCAGTGGTGGGTTTGTACCGGTTCAGCAAAACCGCTAGTGGTTTGGCGGCCTGAGTTGCTGGAACCGGCAGTGACTCAGGCCTGTCACGCTCCCAAACTGGTTCTCCGGGCGGCATCATAGGTACCGCCATCTTGTTTTTTGCTACTGCACATGCACAGAACAGTTTTTATTGCACTGCGCATGCGCGCATGGTGCACCCACAAGCGAACTGGCAGTAGTGACTGCCCGGACCCACCCCTGCTTCAAAGCATTTACTGGGCTTACCTGAACTGCACTAAAAGAGACTGAAAGGATCTGCACAGCCATACAGTACATAGAGAAGGTGCCATTTGCATTGCTCCCTCAAGTAGGTAGTTATGCATCTCATAATGTTGGGAACATTTGCATCCTGGAATCAGAGAACAGTCAACAGTGACACGGAATCCAACTCCTTAATATTTTCATGGAATAAGGAATTCTACCCTGGAATAAGGCAGTATCAAACAACTTTTGTAATGTTGAAAGAGAAAACTATATGGACCTGTCCATGAAGCCACCAAGAATTGAACCTGACTCAAAAGAGGATTTACCACACCTATCCAATCACAAAGAGATTGGGAAAATAGATGAAAAAGCACTATTTTCATTACATCTGTATTGTAGTGTCTTATCTGATACCTTTGTATCTCCAAATTGAGTGGTGTAATAAATTATGTGTGTGTGTGTGTGTGTGTGTGTGTGTGTATGTGTATATTTGAGCCCACAATTGACACATCTTTTCCCCTGAAAGAGGGTGAAAATCTGGGTGCGTCTTATACACTGAATACAGCATTTTTGGCCTCCCAAAACCCA